TAGATGTTTGAAACGAAGCGCCATCTATGGGCACTGTCTCTAAAGATTGCCAACTCGGGGTTTATAACTCTGGCAACCCCAAATTGAAGTCCTATATCCGCCACTTTTCACATGGATCGAGTCAAACAATAATTAACATACAACGTTAATGCCATTTCAACAATATTTTAATTAGGAAATCTCTTACAGTCTGTGAACGTGATTATCATTACGGTACAAAATAACTCAGCTGTTCTCAATCCACAGCCGTGTACGGCTGGGTTGGTACCTATCAAACTGTATGGCCTATCTAGCCTGCCGGGGTGGGGCTTTTATCGTTTCCTGGTCCTGTTTAGACCGGATACCATTCCCCTATCTCTTCTCATTGATTCCATAAGCTCTTGCCCCTTCCGCCACCTAAATAATAACAATTCATTTAGGTCTCTAATATCACCATTAACACATTTAACGTTTAATACGGCGGATTCAAATTATATTATCACATAAAATAGAATTAACTTACTAGTGGCAATCATCAGCCTGTCAATTTCTGTAAGACCACCCGGCTATAGGCTATGGTTCTTTCATTCCTTAACCAGAATACCCTAACGCTAATTTCGATAGACCTTATATACGACCCGCCCTTTTCTCATAATATACATATATATAGTTTAGTGCATACGTGGCAATCCGTGTAAGCTGCATATACGTCGTTACGTAGACATACAATTGCTTATACCTTCACCTTAATCTATACGCTTCGATGCATGTGTCTGTAACTTTACTTCATGCTTAACAATACGGTAATATAAAGGGAATACATTTTCAACTGTGACACCACTCTATGCTGAGTCAAACTCAGAATCATAAATCTGTTGAGATGAAACCTTGGTAGTGTATATTTTGTTTCTTCCTGAGAATTGTTTGTTCTATATAGCGTCGCTCACATCACGAACTAACACAATCGAAGTAGATTGTGTTAGTTCGTGAAATCACAGTAGCGCGTCAAAACGAACGCGTATTGGTTGTCAAGCAATTTTGTATTCTTTACTACACAAAAAGTCCTTAACGACAACAGCGCGTATTTTGACGCGCTTTTTTGATTTCACGAACTAACACAATCTACTTTGATTGTGTTAGTTCGTGATGTGAGCGACGATAGTTAGGAAGTTTTTACTTCCTATTATTTCTAATGTAGTCCAAAAAAATATTTATGGTATCTAAGCTTTACTTTTACTTGTTTACATTATTTAAACCATGGATGTGGAATTTTAAGAATTAATAAGCAAGTAATTGATTACTACAATGGATAGAACTTCATATTTCTGTCATCATTATCCTCGTCGTCATCATTATCATCATTATGATTATCACTGCATTGTAGTTTAAGCGATCATTATTTTGACATAGAAAAATAAAAGTATGTTCTGATTTATGTCATCATTATCATCATTATCATTATCACTGTATTGTAGTTTAAGCGATCATTATTTTGACATAGAAAAATAAAAGTATGTTCTGATTTATGTCTAAAATGTTGCATAACTTTAGCATATACAAGTGTGATATTTAATTTCTAGTTCATCTTACTGTCTTTGAATTTCAGATCAACCGGCTCATCTGGAATGACGAGAAGATTGGTCGTTATGCCAACCGTCTTACCCATACAAAAAAATTCTATAGAATTCTATCAAAAAAAAACTATAGAATGTCTATAGCATAAT